GGAGATCCAGGTTTGCCAGCACAATTTGCTGAACATGCTGTCTTTCCTCCATTGAATATTCTTGGCCCTTTGTCAAATATCAGGTGGCTGAAATTGCATTTACTCCTATTTGGGTCTTCAGTTTTGTTCCATTGATCTATGGGTCTATTTTTGTGCCAGTACCATGTTGTTTTTATGACTATAGCTCTGTAATACCGCTTAAAATCTGGTATAGTAATCTCCCCGGCATTGCTCTTAGAGCTCAGGGTTCGGGTTGCTTTGGCTATCTGAGGTCTTTTGTGCTTCCATATGAATCTTAGGATGGTTTTTTCCAACTCTGTGAAGAATGTCATGGGGAGTTTGATTGGCATTGCATTGAATCTATAAAGGGCTTTTGGTAGGATGGTCATTTTCACAATATTAATTCTTCCAATCCATGAGTGTGGGAGGTCCTTCCATCTTCTGATGTCTTCCTCGATCTCTTTAAAGATTTAAAATTTTCATTGTACAGGTCTTTAGTGTCTTTGGTCAGGTTTATTCTGACGTATTTTATCTTATTTTATTTTATTTTTGCAGCTATTGTGAAGGGGAATGTTTCCATGTGTTCTTTCTCTGATTGCTTGTGATTGGTATATAGAAAGGCTACAGACTTTTGTAGGCTAATTTTGTAATCTGCCACTTTACTGAATGTGTTAATAATTTCTAGGAGTTTTCTGGTGGAATTTTTTTCCTCTCTTATCTATAATATGTCATCTGCAAAAAGGGATAATTTGATCTCTTATTTTCCAAGTATTACTCCTTTAATTTCCTGTTCTTGTCTTATTGCTCTTGCAAGAGTTTCAAGTACTATGTTAAAGAGAAGTGGGAATAGTGGACAGCCTTGTCTGTTTCCTGATTTCAGTGGGAATGCTTCCAGTTATTCTCCATTTAGAATGATGTTGGCTGTGGGTTTGTTATATATGGCTTTAATTATGTTCAAGTATGTTCCCTCCAGTCCAATTCCCTCTAGGACTTTGAAAATAAATGCATATTGAATTTTGTCAAAGACCTCTGCATCTATTGAGATGACCATGTGGTTCTTGTCTTTGAGCCCATTTATATGATTTATGACATTGACTTACGTCATGGTAGATGATCTTTTTGATGTGTGTCTGTATGCAGTTTGCAAAAATCTTGTTGAGAATTTTTGCATCTATGTTCATTAAGCATATAGGCCTATATCTATTTCTTTTTTGGTTGTATCTTTACCTGGCTTTTGTATTCGAGTGATGCTGGCCTCATAGAAGGAATTTGGAAGTTCTCCCTCCATTTCTATCTTTTTTAATAAATTAGGTAGTATTGGATGTAAATCTTCTTCAAATGTCTGATAGAATTCTACTGATAAATTAAGTTTAATTGGATGCAGATCTTCTTTAAATGTCTGAGAGAATTCTGCTGTAAATCCGTCTGGTCCTGGGCTTTCTTTAGTCGGGAGGTTTTGTATTTCTGTTT